CAAGTTCGGGTAAGCCATGGAGGCTTGAAATAAAAACCACAAGTCTGGGTGGACCATAGAGGCCTGAAGCTAGGCTGTGACAAACATATATTTCAGTATGAGGTGACCTTTACTGGTCATAAGAAGAAAAGATAAGAAGATAACATTTTAAGAGATGAAAGCAAGGATAACTTACTAATAAGAGTATTTAACCAAATATCGCCGCTAAATCCCTAAATCCCCAAATCTCCATCGCCTCTCGCCGCTAAATTTCTTCTATTGTTGCCTCTCTCTCGCCTTCTAGCCTTGCAGGTAGTTGTTCCCACGCCGCCCGGCCCTCCCAGATGCCGCGATTTTGAACGCTATGTGCACCGGTGGTTCATGTGGCCGCTTAATCTACTTCGCCTCTTCTGGCTGGCGGGTTAGGGTTTGCGGTTGCTGGCCTTTTCGGAGCTGTGGCGGAGCCAAGGGTCGCGGAGCTATGGGTTCGGGTCGGGTGAGGCTCTGGCGGTTCACCTTCTCAGGATGGAGTGCCTCGGGCTCCTCAGACGGGCCTATCTCCGGTTTTGCCTCTGACGGCTTGGATGGAAGTTTTGTTTCTTTTTTCCGGTCGTCGCGAAGTGCTGGGGCCTGTTGGTCGACTCTGTTCCTTTTCGCCGGCTGATTGATGATTGAGGACGACAAGCTTTCGATTGCCGGCAGATTGGGTTCGCCGGTCTCGTTGATCGAAGGTGAGCTTCCCCCTTATCGTTGCTCCTGTCTCGGTACTCTATTGCTGGCGACTGGCTGTGCTCCTTGCTTCTCTGTTCGCTTTGGCTGCGGTTTTCTGCGGAGGGGAGAGGCAGGGTATGTTGGCTGCATTTCGGAGGTTCAGGGGTTAGGCTCTTACGAGGCTCAGGCGTCTTTAGGTCTTCGGGAAGGTGGGGCTGGGGCTGTGGTACCGAGACAGCTCTCTTTCCCCGGTTCTCTGGGGTGGGGATCCGGGGTGCACACTGTTTTGGCAGTGTTGGGAGCAGTGTTGGTGCTTTCTGGCGTAGGGAAGAATTGGCTTAGGGTGGGTTCTGTGGTTTGAGTGTTGGCTCAGCTAGGCGGTTCGGCAGTGGAGGGGTCGATTCCTCATGCTGTGGGGTTCTCTCTGGGTTAATTTGGTGGCTGCTAGTTCGGTTAAGATTTGCTGTAGAGGGAGGGCTTGTTTGTTGTTAGTTATTTTTAGTATTTTGTGTTGTTTTTGTTATGTGTTTGTCTTCTTTGTGTTAGTTTTGTATTTGTGTTTGTGTTTTAGGTTTGGGCGGTTGCCTCGGTGCATCCGGGTGTCAAATTTATTACTCTGTGGGGGTCCGACACCCGGATATTACCCTGTGGGGGTCGTGTGTTTGTGTTGTTGTTGTGTTGTTTGAGTTGTTTTGTTGTATTACCCCTTGGGGGTCGTATCTAGTTGTTTTTAGTTTTGAGTTTCTGTTCTNACGATAGAGAAAAGCCTAAGAAAGATAGATCGTCAGGAATTCTTGGTGAACATTGTATGGAGATCGACGAAGTAGCAGTCAACCGAAGAAGTCCCAATGGTACAAGAGTATCCAAATGTCCGGAGAAGTTGCTAGAAGATCCAGCGAAAGCGTGGTGGAAGTTCTTGGTACAAGGAGAAAGACCAGTGCATGTTAGTTTACTGTGCAGACAGCTTGTTTCCGCTGGGTTACAGTGATTCTGACTTCCAGTCAGTTTGGGACGAAAGTAAGTCAACCTCACGCTATGTATTTACTTTTGTATGAGGAGCCATTTCATGGAAGAGTGCTAAGCAAAAATGCGCGGCAGACTCTGCCATGGACGCCGAGTATGTTGCAGCCTCTGAGGCAGCAAAGGAGGTAATATGGCTCAGGAACTTCTTGGTGGACTTAGAAGTGATTCTGAGTTTTCCACAAGGGATCACAATTTATTGTGATAGCAGTGGTGCAGTAGAAAACTCAAGGGAACCACGAGTCCACAAGGCAAGTAAACACATAGAGAGAAAGTACCAACTGATACAAGAAATCATAAGAAGAGGAGACGTCGAGGTTGCCAAGATTGCATCAGAGGACAACTTAGCTGATCCTTTCACGAAGAGTTTCCCGGGGAAGGTCTTCGTCAAACATGTGGAAGGAATGGAAGTCAGATGTGTGGCCACATGATCGACATATGTCTTTTAGAATACGGATTGATAGACATACACTAGTAAAAGTGAAAGCTTTAAGTATAAGTGGGAGATTGTTGGTGTATATACTGAAAGCTTGGCTTTAGATGATATTTACACTTTATTTCGGTTGAATGAGAATCATGTTTGATTATCAAGATCTATGTTCTGTTGTTTTGCACTTAGATAAATTTCATTAGCGGGTGAATAGAAGATCATTTTACCAGTTACTTACGAAACAAGAATGATTGGTTTATAACCTAGTGAAAATGAACAAACCATTAGAACGGTAGTAGTGTCAACCGTACAGTTGATCTGGACTGATTAGTTGCACTAGTATATTTATGTATTGAAAAGGATCCGAGAGAGGAGCAGCACGTTTTATACTGATGGTGGTAAACAAACTAGGCCTCGGTTAATTACTACGTTCTCTTAACCTGTAAGATATAAACAGGCATGCGCATGCAGTGGCTATTACTTTGATTCACTAAAAGTGAGATCCATTCTAGTGGTTCAATAATCTTGATGTTTTGGGTAATAGTGCTACATGTACGATGTGCTGTTAGAATGTTTACGGTCACCATGTGCTGCATGTGGATTAAGTTCCGACATAATAATAAAGATTTGAGTGATGCTAGCTTTGATTCAATATATCGATTAATTCTTGATTGTCAGTAATCGAATTAATTGATGGACATTACATCTTAAACGTGGGGAGGTAATTCGAGTAATTATTATTGGAATCTCGAATATAATTTGGGGATGATAAGGGAGTGCAATAGTGTTTCGTTAGTATACCGGGACATTTTTTATGTAATTGGATCATGTAGGCTTGGCCCACAGTTGGGCCCAATGACTTAAGAAGCCCATATTATCATCTCCTTAGGTTCTCTGCTATAGCCCTATAAATACACCATTAAGCTAATGGGATTAAGAAAAGAGAGACACACATAGCCTCACACGTTCGGCCGGTCTCTTTTATCCCATAGGTAAGTTTTATCTTCGTTTTGTTGCTGCACCGAGACAAACGAAGAGGTGTCGAGAAATATAGCAGAAGATCCTAAGGTATCGAGACCCCGGGATCATCCACTGCGCGCAAGCCCCGGCGACCACCGCACGCGAACTGCGACCACCGTAAGAAACCCTTTTCCCACAGCCACAGTCCCCAATTATCGAGCACTCCCGATGATGACGCACGACCCGCTGTAACCCAGCGACGCTCTCGACAAGCTTCTTGACTGTTAGGATATACTGTAAATGCTTGGCTTTCAATTTTCAGCAATTCCATTTTGATCTGACAATCAAGTTTTAGTCAAAGTACTTATGTTTGCAAGTTTATTTATTTATGCAATCATAACTCTTTTGTCTTACATTGTAGAAAGTATGGTTCGATGTGTGGAAAGAAAAATCATATTATTGGTTCCTTGTAAGATAAATTAATTGTTCACAGTCTCGACAGACTGGAAACCCCTGATGGAAAAAGTCTGTAGTGTAGTTTTGATTCAGTTGATCTTTGACTAATGAATTACACTAGTACTTAATATAAGTATTGAATGGACCCCAGAAGGATAATATTATTTCAATATTGATCGACTAAATAATCTAGACCTTCAGTAATTGATGCGTACCTCTTAAGTCGTAATGTAATAAAAAAGCATATATATTCAATACTTGTTTATTTGATTTACCAAGGGTGATTTCTATATTACTTGTATGACATACTCGGTATTTTGGTAAATGATGATATTTATATGATGTGGTATTATAATTAATTACGGTCACTATGTCCTAGTGCGCTGTGTTGATGATGTCCCAAAAATGAGCACACAAAGGAATATTTTGTCAAGCCCTACAGGCGGATGAGTTTCCGACATAATGATTAAGGAACTGAGTGGTACTAATTTGGGAATAAAAAGAAGTTGATTAATTTCATTTTCGGTAATTTAATTAATCAAATAACGTAATATCTTAAACATAGGGATGGTAAATCGATCAATTAAACTAATATTAACTAATTAAGTGGAGGTTGGAATTTATTGAATAAATTGAAGTTAACTGGAGAGAACAATAATATTACTCTAGTAGAATGTTTTATTATTTAATTCTATTAGTGGGTAGTACTTAATTTATTTTCTAATTAGTTAATTCCGTAAGAAGAGGAATATTCTCTCTAGAATATTACCAATGGTTAGGATACATAAGAGTCTTCTAGAAAGGGTAATTAGGGTTAGGAGGAATTAGGTCTTCTAGAAGGGAATGTAACTGGAGAGTAAATATATTTCCTAACCCTAGTAGGATAATGATGTGTGTAATTATGTATGTTATTAATGAAAGTCTATCGTTAGAAAGAAAAAAACCATAGTAGGATATGCTCATATTTAGCACCTTCTTAAGGTCTCTAATGTAGCCTATAAATACGCCATGTCCCAAACCTATTCCCCTAATGTGTGAGAGCCGATTTTCATCTTGAGAAAGAAGAGAAAATGTGACTTTTATATGGAACAAGAGTTTGGGAGTTTCAGTTAATCGCACCACCAAGATAATTTGAAGTAGGTGTATAAGGTCATACATTAGAAGGCTTTAAGGTATAATATTTATCGAGCACATATATACATACATATTATCCAGCGACCAAGACCACCGTCTTCAGTTGTCGGAGACCGCCATCCGCCACCGCGAGTCACTACCAGAAATCGCCGCCGCCTTGCCGCGACCTCCCAGCGACACCGCGAGTAGCCAGCAGCAGCCTCACGTTCCCAACGACGACCTCGCGCGCCTACCTGATCTGCCACGTGACACCGTCCCTGCCTGAGTTCATCGCGCATCGCCTCTAAGCAAGAAGCTCGCGCACGTCCTACTATGCCATACACGCCAAAGCCTTTGCAGTGCACGCTAGCCGTCCGCGCCCGACGCGTAGGATAGCTCGCAAATGCCAGGCGAAACGACGTTGTAATCCCTGCTCCCAAACACGCACGCAGTCGAGCACTAGTAGCACCCGACGCACGTCTTTTTCCTCAGCCGCTCGACGCCTAGACCCTGTAGGCCATAATAAGAGAAGGATTCCGCCACCCTTCAAGCGTAAGGAGGACTCGAGTCAAATGGAATGCTACACCTCTTCAGTTCTTTCATCAGTAGAGGATTCTTCGCCCCAAGGAACGAACACGAGGCCATCGACCAAGGCCTGATGCGCAGCCCCATGCGACCTCAACCCGCAGCTCCTGACATGCGTCTGTGACCACGCCCGACACGCCAAGTTCCCGGTGACACGAGTTTGACCGAGAAGGCCAAGTCCGGCTGCCCAACAGACTTTGCGGTTCAGACGATCTCCTACAGCGAAAATCTAGAACGTCTCAGAGACGGAAAAATTTTTAAAAGATAATGTCCTAATCCTAATTGTAGATTCCACTGCGTTAGGATTTAATTCATTAGATTCAAATGTGCATATCGGTGACGTTCCTAATAGAACCCAACATTAGCAATCCGGCTGCTCAACGGATTTTGAGTTCAGACGATCTCCTAAAGCGAAATCTACAAAGTCTCAGAGTCTGCAATTTTTAAGTCGTAAGTTTTCAGTGTTAAACCTCTAGATCCGCTGCGCGTAGGTTTATTCTTGTTTTTTGAATTCGTGACTTGTACTTAACTAGATCCTTACCGATCCCAACACTGTAGTGCTCAAAAATTGATGGGGCGTGGTTGTGGATATGACTCAAAGCACTCAAAAATAAAAATAAGTTAAAACCCATGTGATCCATATCCAATCGCTCATGTAACTCAACCGATAAAAACCAGTTAAAACCAACTTTTTTCCATATCCAATCAGTCCCATAGTCCAGACCTAATTTGTTAACTGAAAAAAATATTGGTGTATCAAAAGTAAAATGTAGATATAATTTGGTGGTCAACATGAAATTTTTGTGTTTCACCGTGTTTACATATATTTCAATCAAGGACGGAGCCACCCGAATTTTATACCGGTAAAAAAATATTTTAGCCCATGTTACATTAGATTAGTCAAGTATTAATCTTATTTTAGACTAAAATAAGTTAATTTTTTTACATTAAATCAATGAATTATATATTTAAACATGATTTAAGTTTCTCTCCACTTTTCTTTTTAGATTATTATGCCCCTTTATGTCATTTTTGTGTTCAATTTTTACTATTTGATTGAATAAAATTTATTTGAATAATTTTATTCGAGACAATATTTGATTGTGTTAGAATACCTAATATGTTACTGAATTTATAGATTTTACAATCAAGTTTATATATTGACTGAATTTTTAAATAAATGATAGTTTTTTTTTTTTTTCCAACGATATCAAGTCTCCATTCAAAATCAAATAGCCGCCAAACGGCAAAAGTACACAAATGTCGACTCCAATAACCTGGGTAACTGAGAGGAAATCATACAAACTTCCTAAACATAACTAAATTCATCACCAAATCAGCTCACCATAACAGCTATAACAAAGACTCTACAATAGATAACAACATTCACATAATACAATTCCACAGCAACACCATAGCTACACAACCGAAAGAATAACATAATAGACAAATCACTGACACGAGACCTAACCTATCTATTAAGTCTTCTTGGTTTCATTTGGTGTTGTGTTGGTTGAAGTCCATCCAGTCCTTCACAGCTGCTTTGATGATCCAATCCTCAGACTGCCAAATGCCTTCGAATACCCAAAGATTTCTAGCTCTCCATAACCACCATAAAATATAAGTGGAGAGCTGAATCCTTGCTTCCGATGTATCTTTAGAATCCATTGTACAAACCCACCACCACCATTGTTTCACAGTCATCCTTTCTGTCTGCACTCTATTCCAACTAACAGGGGACAGTTTCCACACCATTTTGGCCTTCTTGCATAGGAATAGAATGTGCTCTTGAGTTTCTTCCTCTTCCCCGCAGACCCTACAAATTGCCTCCAGCTCCATACCTCTGTGCAGCAAATTGCAGTAGACAGGTAAAATATTAGAAAAACACTGCCACACAAAATGCTTTACCTTGCCCATCACTTGCAATGTCCAGCACCTTATCCTAGCCTTTTTGTTTCCCTCAGCAGCAGCACTGCTTTCAGCCATTGTGTTCATAGTAATTTTGTCACTGAGCATTTTTGAATAAGCTTTTTTCACAGAGAAAATCCCTTTGCCAAGGAAAGAGCATTGCCAAAAGTCAGCAACTCTAGGGTTCAAAGTTTTGATCTGCAAAATCCTGTCAGCATCAGTTTCAGTGAACAGTGCTCTCACTAGTGTAGTATCCCAATTCACCCCACCTGCCAGAATTAGGTCTTTAACCCAAAATAAGCTTCCATCCACCTCAGTTCTCAGTTCAGGTTTCTTGCCATTCAAACCTGGCACCCAGTTCATCTCATTCAACCTAGTACTTTGCCCATTCTTAATCACTAACTTAACCTGTTTCTGCAAGTCAGGTAGGAATGTGGCCCAAGAACTCCACAGCCAAGATGCACTTCCTGTATTTTTCCAATCAAAGATAGAGCAGTCATTAAAATACTTACTCCTTAGAACTCTACACATCAGCATATCTGGTTTCTCAAGAAGTCTCCATAGTTGTTTCAGTATCAGTGCTTTGTTGAATAGTTGAATGTCCAGAAATCCAAGTCCTCCTTCCTCCTTTGGTACAGTCAGTTTATCCCATGAAAGCCAATGCATATTCTGCTTCTGAGATTGCCCCTTATTCCACCAGAATCTAGCCACTAATCTGCACACTTCTTTACAACAGCTCACAGGTAACACAAAACAGGACATGACAAAATCTGGTAATGCACACAACACAGACTATAAAAAATTTGATACTAAATTTCATTCATTTGTCTGACAAATTCAATGAAATGACATATATACTTTAAATGACATGTCATATAACAAAAACGACGAGACTATTACATTGTTTCATAGTAGTTTTTTAATAAATTATAGTTTTATTAATTAAGATTCAAGTACATGAGAGAATTTATGTTTGTCAATTTTTAAAGAAAAACTAATGAAACAATTAAAAATAAATATTTGTCATATGTATAAGAAACTCTCTTGTTAATCGAGAGTCATCTCATATAAAACACGACTAGTTAGAAAGTAAAATAACTCATATAATATATATTAAATTTAAAAAAAGTAATTTTACACTCTTACTTCTTTGTACTTGTGTCTATCTAAATTTTTCGAATCGAGTATTTCAAGTTCAAACTCGTGCTCTTTTAAAAAAAATGAGCTTTCGTGGCTCAGCTCGTTTAATAAACAGATAAAATTTTGGCTTGGTTCGGCTTGTATAAAACTCAGTTTAAGTCCCTTGATAAACTTTAAAACCTAGAACAAAACTCAAAACTCTAACCTAATTATTTGTGAACATGTTCGACTCGATTTGTTTGATAGATAAGCTCGATTAGTTGTTCGAGTTTGGCTCTTTAAATATACAAGCAAGTCAGCCTCAAAATTTTACAAGTCGAATCGAACTACATTAGAGGACAACTCGATTCGAATAATAGTTGTATATTTTGCAGCCCCAGCTGAAAAACTTTTCTGGCAACGTTCCTGATTTCAATGATTTTTTTATCTAACAAATTATTATTTAAAAGAGTTCGTTGGGACCAATTCATTGTACATTATATTTGTCGGGCCAAATCTACAAAATAATAATAATAATCATAATAATCTATACTTATATAAAGAGGCCATCCCATTTACTAGAATTGGTAGGAAGAAAAGTCAAAGGTAATTAATGCATTCTATTTCTATCAATTAATTTTTATTTAATTGTTTTTCCCATAAAATCGGTACAAAAAGAAATGTACGTAAAACAAAAAAAAAGATATATTTGATCGGATGATAAAATCATGATTTTACCAAAAATAAATCAGATGTCAAACCTAAATTGAAGGATTTTGTTGTCTATATAGATATTGATTTACGTAAATCAATACATTTAATATTTATAATTTGTGTAACGTATATTTTTTATTTTTTTTATTTCGAAATATTAAACGTATATTTTTGATTTTTTTATTTTTATTTTTAAAATTTAGAATTTGCCTTATTTCTTCTAGAGATCGTGTATATATTTAGATATTTACATTATTTATATTTTTTAAACAAATTAATTTTTATGATTGCTTTTTTGTACATGTTTATTTTGTGAGAATGACGAATTGTCCAATAATCAAACTCATAATGTTGTGTACAAGGAGGTCTTTAATAATATATAATTGTGTCTTTGTCAAATACTATCTTATTGTACAATTTTACTATATATCATAAAATTTTTATTTAATATTGCATCTTATAATATAATATTCCCCAAATAAATATATTCCGTGTCTCGCACGGATCACGTACTATATATATCTCATACATTTTTCTTTATTCATGTATATAATTATAAGACTGGATAAATAGCCTTAAAATTGTGCACCCCGTGCATTGCACGGGCTCTGCACTAGTAATAATAATAATAATAATAATAATAATAATAATAATTGAAGTAGCCCATGACAACATTAATGGAGAGAATTTGACAAGTCCTATCTTTAGCACAAATTTTCAGAACAGTAACGGTCACATATAATTGAAGGGTATGGGTCCGAATATATTCCCACCTAGATGACAAGAATTAGATTCCTCTTAATATCACTTAATTTTCTTTTCTTAAAAAATCTTTTGGTCCAACCGTCCAACACCTCGTCTTAGCATCGAAGACCATTGTCAATGTGGCTGTGACTGACCGACTCAAACACCAGTACATCATATTTGTTTAATAATTGAAAATGCTATGATTTTTTTTATTTTTTTTTTTATAACTTAAAGATGCAATCTCTTAATTAGTATCATAATTATTTGGGAGCTTTCTTTAAAAATCCCCAATTCTAATTCAGTCTTTCAAATCAGTCCCCAGTAATAATTTTTATCTATTTTACTCCATACCCCCTAATCATCTTCCATTTAAATCCCTCATATTAAAAAAAAATGACAAAGAAATTTATATATGACATCATCCCACTATCTACATTATTAAATTATTTTTGTTACCTAAAATCCTTCTTCCTCACTCTTCTTCCTCATTCTTCTTTCCCGATTTTTTCTTCTTCACCGCCGGCGTGTAATTTTTTTTTTTTTTCGCAGCTTCATCTCGCCGACGAATACTAACTGGACACTGGGGTTTTTTCTGGAGGCAACAAATCCGACGACATTAAGGCTTTTTCCAGCCGAAAATTCCTGTTTCTCCGGCCAAAAATTTCTATCTCTCTGTCCGAAAATTCTTATTTTTCCGGCAAGATTGTGACTTTTTCCGGCGAAAACTTGAAGTAGTAAGTAATGTATGTATCATATGAGAAGTTTGGAGTCCAAAAATCATCTTTAATTCATATATTTTTGTTTGATTTATGAAGGATTGAATTTTGAATATTGTTGTTTATATTTACCCTAAAACAAATAAAGTGATCATAATCTTTTTTTTTCTTTTTTTTTTCATGTATGCTAAATTTATGCTATTGTAAGGTTAAGTTAGGTGTTATTGACCATAAAATAAAAAAATCAGATGAGCATAATCATAGTACCACTATTCATGATTGTGTGTATCTCTGTTTGGATATATAGTACCACTTTGCTCACTGTTGGTACTATCTGTGCTGGGAAATGTGAACAATTTCTTTTTCTAATCCAATTATTGTTAGATACATGGAAGGGACACAAAAATTCCTATCTCTCTGTTCGAAAATTCTTACTTTTCCTGCAAGATTGTGACTTTTTCTGGCAAAAACTTGAAGTAGTAAGTAATGTATGTATTATATGAGAGGTTTGGAGTCCAAAAATCATCTTTAATTCATATATTTTTGTTTGATTTGTGAAGGATTGAATTTTGAATATTGTTATTTATATTTACCCTAAAACAAATAAAGTGATCATAATCCTTTTTTTTTATTCATGTATACTAAATTTATGCTATTGTTAGGTAATGTGAGGTGTTATTGACCATAAAACAAAAAAATAAGATGAGAATAATCATAGTACAACTATTCATGATTGTGTGTACCTCTGTTTGAATATATAGTACCACTTTGCTCACTGTTGGTACCATATGTGTTGGGAAATGTGAACTTTTTTTTAATCCAATTATTGTTAGATACATGGAAGGGGCACAAAGTGATATATTAGGGAGTTGTACATACAAAGATGAAATGTATGTGTTCTCTCTGAACCTTGAATCAACTCTTGACGAAGTGTACACTCTCATTGGTAAGAGGTGGTCGATTGTTAGTTTGGAAACTGTCATGTTAAACTATATTGCGCCAAAAGAGAAAAAGAGAATTAGTTTATCCGATGATGAGGATGTAAAAACATGATTCGGTTACATCATTGTTGGAAAGTAAATATTGTGGAGATAGTTGTCATTGAAAGAAATGAAAGCCCGGGCATTGGAAGAAATGAAAGACGAGATGATGGAGTTCAATCTATGCCGATGAACATGAGCGGGTAATGTTGCTTTCATAATATTAATGAATTTATTATTGATATATAGTGTATTTGTATCATCATATCCAAATACATTAATTTCTTAACTAGTTCCACTATTTATAAAAATTTGTATTATTTTATCATGAACGCAGGTAAATGTTACGGGAAGTAGAATCGGAGTTGGTAGTGCAAGATAAATCGATCTATTCTTGGAGATTCTCCATTAAAGAGAGGGGTAGATGTTCAGTGGCGGCGCGGATGAATTTCAGAAGGTTGTTAAAAACTACGCAATTGCGAATAGGCGTTCTTTCAAGTACCGAAAAAATGATCAACAGAAGATAATTGTTTGTTGTACTGATTAGGGTTGTCAATGGAGAATATATGCCTCAAAAAACAACGGTGATTAGTTATTTGCCATCAAGAAGAGCAATTTAGTCCATACCTGTGGAGTGTTCAGTCTTCGGACAAGGGGGCATCCGGAAGCAGACTCTCATTGGGTCTCGAATGCAATTAAGGAGAAATTGAGAGATGAACCGAGCTACAGGCCATGCACGATATTGAAAGATCTTCATAGGGATTATGGCTTGGAGTTGCCTTATAGAAAGGCATGGTTAGGGAAGGATATTGCCATGCAAGATATTCATGGAGCAGACAAGAGTTCTTATGATAAATTGAGATGGTATTGTACTAAAGTGCGTGAGATAAACCCGGGAAGCATTGCGGATTGTGAGCTTGACCCTGTCCAAAATAAGTTTCGCCGATTGTTCATTTGCTTTCATGCTTGTCTTGTTGGTTTTATAACCGGTTGTCGACCGTTGATATTTTTAGAGGCACTCGCATAAAAAATAAATTCAAAGGCATTTTGCTTAGTGCTGTGAGTAAGGATGCCAATGATGATTTGTTCACTTTAGCATATGCTTTGGTTGATGCCGAGACCGATGAAAATT